TGTGGTCAATTTTGGAATAAGTGCGATGTGGTGCTAAGAATGTATATTCTGTTGATTTTGGGTGGAGAGTTCTGTAGATGTCTATTAGGTCTGCTTTGTGCAGAGTTGAGTTCAATTCCTGGATATCCTTGTTAACTTTCTGTCTTGTGGATCTGTCTAATGTTGACAGTGGGGTGTTAAAGTCTCCCATTATTATTGTGTGGGTGTCTAAGTCTCTTTGTAGGTCTCCAAGGACTTGCTTTATGAATCTGGGTGCTCCTGTATTGGGTTAATATATATTTAGGATAGTTAGCTCTTCTTGTTGAACTGATTCCTTTACCATTATGTAATGGCCTTCTTTGTCTCTTTCGATCTTTGTTGGTTTAAAGTCTTTTTTATTAAAGACTAGGATCGCAACCGCTGCTTTTTTTTTGTTCTCCATTTGCTTGGTAGATCTTCCTCCATCCCTTTATTTTGAGCCTATGTGTGTCTCTGCATGTGAGATGGGCCTCCTGAATATAGCACACTGATGGGTCTTGACTCTTTATCCAATTTGCCAGTCTGTGTCTTTTAATTGGAGCATTTATCCCAGTTACATTTAATGTTAGTATTGTTATGTGTGAATTTGATCCTGTCATTATGATGTTAGGTGGTTATTTTACTCACTAGTTGATGCAGTTTCTTCCTAGCATCGATGGTCTTTACAATTTGGCGTGCTTTTGCAGTCACTGGTACTGGTTGTTCCTTTTCATGTTTAGTGCTTCCTTCAGGATCTCTTGTGAGGTAGGCCTGGTGGTGATGACATCTCTCAACACTTTCTTGTCTGTAAAGGATTTTATTTCTCCTTCACTTATGAAGCTTAGTTTGTCTGGATATGAAATTCTGGGTTGAAAATTCTTTAAGAACGTTGAATATTGGCCCCCACTCTCTCCTGGCTTGTAGAGTTTCTGCCGAGAGATGTGTTGTTAGTCTTATGGGTTTCTCTTTGTGGTAACCCGACCTTTCTCTCTGGCTGCCCTTAACATTTTTTCCTTCATTTCAACTTTGGTGAATCTGACAATTGTGTGTCTTGGAGTTGTGCTTCTCGAGGATTATCTTTTTTTTGTGGTGTTCTCTGTGTTTCCTGAATTTGAATGTTGGCCTGCCTTGCTAGGTTGGGGAAGTTCTCCTGGATAATATCCTGAAGAGTGTTTTCCAACTTGGTTCCATTCTCCCCCGTCACTTTCAGGCACACTAATCAGACGTAGATTTGGTCTTTTCACATAGTCCCATATTTCTTGGAGACTTTGTTCATTTCTTTTTACTCTTTTTTTCTCTAAATTTCTCTTCTTGCTTCATTTCATTCATTTGATCTTCAATCACTGATACCCTTTCTTCCAGTTGATCAAATTGGCTACTGAAGCTTGTGCATGCGTCATGTAGTTCTCATGCCATGGTTTTCAGCTCCATCAGGTCATTTAAGGTCTTCTCTATACTGTTTATTCTAGTTAGCCATTTGTCTAATCTTTTTTCAAGGTTTTTAGCTTCTTTTGATGGGTTCAAACATCCTCCTTTATCTCAGAGAAGTTTATTATTACCGATTTTCTGAAGCCTTCTTCTCTCAACTCTTCAAAGTCATTCTCCATCTAGCTTTGTTCCGTTGCTGGCAAGGAGCTGTATTCCTTTGGAGGAGAAGAGGTGCTCTGATTTTTATAATTTTCAGCTTTTCTGCTCTGGTTTCTCCCCATCTTTGTGGTTTTATCTACCTTTGGTCTTTGATGATGGTAATGTACAGACGGTGTTTTGGTGTGGATGTCCTTTCTGTTTGTTAGTTTTCCTTCTAACAGTCAAGACCCTCAGCTGCAGGTCTGTTGGAGTTTGCTGGAGGTCCACTCCAGACCCTGTTTGCCTGGGTATCACCAGTGGAGGCTGCAGAATCGTAAATATTGCAGAACAGCAAATGTTGCTGCCTGATCATTCCTCTGGAAGCTTCGTCTCAGAGGGGCACCTGGTTGTATGAGATGTCAGTCATCCCCTACTGGTTGATGCCTCCCAGTTAGGCTACTCGGGAGTCAGGGACCCACTTGAGGAGGCTTTCTGTCCATTCTCAGATCTCAAACTCCATGCTGGGAGAACCACTACTCTCTTCAAAGCTGTCAGACACAGACGTTTAAGTCTGCAGAAGTTTCTGCTGCCTTTTGTTCAGCTATGTTCTGCCCCCAGAGGTTTAGTCTACAGAGGCAGGCAGACCTCCCTGAGCTATGGTGGACTCTACCCAGTTTGACCTTCCTGGCTGCTTTGTTTACCTACTCAAGCCTCAGCAATGGCAGGCGCCCCTCCTTCAGCCTCCTGCAGCCTTGCAGTTCAATCTCAGACTGCTGTGCTAGCAGTGAGCGAGGCTCTGTGAGTGTGGAACCCTCCAAGCCAGGAACAGAATATAATTTTCTGTTGTGCTGTTTGCTAAGACTGTTGGAAAAGTGCAGTATTAGAGTGGGAGTGACCCGATTTTCCAGGTGCCATCTGTCACGGCTTCCTTTGGCTAGGAAAGGGAATTCTCTGACCCGTTGCACTTCCCAGGTGAGGCGATGCCTCCCCCAGCTTTGGCTCATGGTCTGTGGGCTGCACCCACTGTCCTGCATCCACTGTCTGTCAAGCCCAAGTGAGATGAACCTGGTACCTCAGTTGGAAATGCAGAAATCACCCGTCTTCTGTGTTGCTCACACTAGGAGCTATAGACTGGAGCTGTTCCTATTCAGCCATCTTGCAACCTCCCACTATTTTTATTTCTTCTAAATAGGCAACCTAGTAGCTTCTTTCTTCTGTTTTTCCTTGTCATCTTTATTTTATTTCTAACAATGGATATGCTTCACATTATTAACTAACTGAAAATGAGTTTTTTAGCATAGATCTAAGTCAGTGATAATTTCACAATTGGAGTCAGAAGTTAATGATAAAGGAATCCAGTTGACACAACTAACGCAATAGCTTTCATCCATGAAAGAGCAGACTCTCACATATTTGGATGTATCTTCAAGGCCCAGAGAAAAATCTTCTAAAACTTCTACTCACTAGGGCCCATGTTCTGCAAAATGGATCATTTTGTTTTTCTAGGGAGCAATTTTGTATAAATTAGTGCTTAATACATTTTGGGAAATGAATAAATAATAAATGTAATGCTTATTTTATTGACATACCTCCATGAGAAATGTAAGAAATGAAATTAGTAAGCATATAATTAATATGTAGAATGTACCTAATAAGCATATAATTATGTATACAATAAAGTGTACTTCAATTTATAAAAAGTTTGTATCATTTTTACTGTTAACTTCGTGACTAAACTCTCTTGTGAAGCAAGGAGAAATGTTTACAAATTGTTATTCAAATATAAAATTAGTTGTACAGGTTTACCAAAAAGAGAAAATGTATACTTTACAATACTTGTTAAAACAAACCTTTTTTTCCTAGGACATACCGAGGGATTGCATATGTTAAACGGAAATTTTACAAAGAAGCAACTCAAGATTTTTCTGCTGCAATTCACTTAGATCCTAATAACTGGTTAGCATTGTATTATCGAGGTTGCTTATTCAGAAAGAGTAACCCTTTTAGAGCGCTACAGGATTACAGTGTTTCAGGTACTTTGCCTTCAATTACATGTATGTAGCAATCTGATCTGAGATTCAACAGCTCAGTTTCATAGTGGTGAATGGTAAAGTGGGGCCACTAATGTAATAAGTATACTACTAGATACTAATATACATTATAAGTATATATTACATGAGCTTATACATTTTAATATTCTTATATAGATACACAATATATGAATATATAGCTATAATGGTTTAGTTATAAGTGTTTCTAATATGCCCTTTGTGTGTGTGTGTGTGTGTGTGTGTGTGTGTGTGTTAACTGTGGCAAGGGGAGAATGTGACATCAAAGAAATCTCTTTCTATAATATACTGGGTTCTAAAGATTTTTCTGGAAACCCAGGCCTGTTTCCTAGTCAGCTTTCTAAAATGGCAGTAAATTGTCCTGGCGTGCTGTGTCCTGCTCCATAGGCTCAGCCCAAGAGATTTGTCAAATTCAGCGTTTTTAACCCATAAACTAAAAATAGGTTTTGGGAATCCTTAGTAGCTAAGGACACCAATAGCTAAAAATGGCCATTTCTGTGTTACCCTCAATCAGCACACTCCTGGTTTATGCATGTGGCCAGCACATTTGGTGAGCATAGAGTCAGTGCTCAGTAAACAGACTCCAACAGAATGAATGAGCCCATCCTGACTGATGAAATCCAACCTGAGTCTAATGCTCCAGATATGCCTGTGTCCACCTGGGTGTGAAGTTCTAGAATCCCATCATTGTAGATTAGACAGTGTCTAGAGATGAAGAGACAACTAGATTTCCACAGGGAAGAAGAGCTAAGGTGATGGTTACTTGATTGTCTTAAGTCCATTTGCCTTCTGAGGTCACCCTTCTCATTAATATTAAAATAAAATAACTCAAATTTCATTCTGTGTATTGAAAGGAGTCTAGTGTCCTCCCCTCTATTTCCAAGGATTCTTGGGAAAGGGGCCTGAGGATTTCTGTCTAATTCTTTCATCATCTTTGAGTCCAGTTTCAGCTTTTGGCTGGATTCCCCATCTTTGCTCACCCTCACTTCCGTGGCTACTGTTCTCTTGGCTTTGCTTTTTACCAGGTCTGTCCTTGATTCCCCAGTATAACATCAACACAAACATGTTGTGTCTACTAATCTGTTGCTGAATGCTTTAGGGTTCAGAAGATAAATTTAGCACAGGTAACCTAAATTTGAAGATCAAACCACCCCCATTTTTAGAAGTTTATCTGACTCTGTCAGCCCTATCCATCTACCACTGGCCAAATCCCTTTTTCTCTGGTCTTCCTGTAAAGGCTTCTTTCTTATATTTCCCTCTTATACAAGTTTTGGGTTTCTCATGCCCTCCTCTCCCCACTTCTAGGCTATCACAATAATTGAACAAAATTCCTATTATTTAATTATCCAGAGCAGACAAACTTGATTTCAGCCTCAATCCTTTCCTACCAGATAGCCCAAGGAGTTTTATCACCCACAACAAAAAAGGACTCTCAAGATATTTTGCTAAGCTAGTAATAATAATAATAATAATAATAATGATATCTAACATTTATTGGGCATTTTGCTACTTGCAAAGTGCTTTTTAAAGCGCCAAATAAGAAGTATCTCAATATTTAGAGTAATGCTAGGAGCTCGGTACTATTTTCATTCACATTTTACTGATGAGAAAGCCACAGCACAGAGAGGTTAAATAATATTTTTTTCCTTTTTTCTTAAGAATCTTTTTTTATTATTATTATTTGTTAAGAGCAACCACCCAAACTGCAGCTGATTTTTTAATTGCTAGTCAATCATACCGTGAACTGAGCAGTTAGATTTTCTTCAAGTGATACCAGTCATGTGCCGCATAATGATGTTTCAGTCAAAAATGCACTGTATATACTATGGGTAAACCTGATATATGTATATACATATGTAACATATACCATCTAGGTTTGTGAAAGTACACTCTATGATGTTTGCACAATAAAGAAATCCCCTAATAATGCATTTCTAGAACATATCCCTACCGTTAAGTGGTGCATTACTGTATTTACTTAATCTGTATGATCATTGCTGACACTAACTATACTTCCCTAAATTTAGTACTGTGAATATTTTTGTCTTAGACTGTAAACATTATGCACATTTTGGCAAAACTTTCCATCTTAAGGCAGAATGGCATGAGAAGCTTTAAAGATATGTGTCAAAACTTGTGGAAACCCCATCTAATTCACTAACATGTTTTGAAAGTGAAGGGGCAATCAGTAGGCGACAGACATGAGATGACCTCTAGACTGGTTACTAATGAGAGTCACACACCTAGAGTACTGAGAGGAGGTTCTTTTTCTCCCTTCCATTATTTGGGATGTGCATCCTGGATAGTTATTATTTGGGATGTGCATAGTCAAGCCATCTGCCTTACCTCCAAGCTCTGCTTGCCTTGGTGTAGCCTCTTTGCTTGTCCATCCTGGTTTGTGTGTAAGCCTGACCTCTGCTTTCTGCCTTCAGGACTAGTAACCAAGCCTGTTCTTGGCCAGTAACGATGGCTTCCTGATAAAATCAGGCCATCAAGGGTCATGGCACCCTTCTGACTGGAGTTGGATTCTAGGCCAGTCTTTGCCATTGACTGTCATATCATGACGGTGGTCAATGTACTTACCCCCTTTGGACTTTAATCTCCTCACCTATACAGTGAGTGGACTATGCTAGATTCCGATCAGGTTTTAGTTCAGCTCTAATGAGTTTGTGAACCACAATTGCCACATTGTTACTAATAAATACATTTTAATGTACAATACTATTGTTTAACTTACCAAACAAGTACACTCATCATAGATATGTTTCTATTTTATATAATGTTAAAAAATGAGAATAAGCAATAGGAAGGTTACAGACTAAAATATAATTTACATATGGTTATTTTAGAACCTGAATGAAATACATTTTTTTAAATTTTTAAGCACTCATAAATGATGGCTATGAGAATCTTGGTTGTTTTCTACATCGGGGAATAGTCTATGCACATCTAAAACTGTGGTTGCTGGCAATTTGTGACTTTGAAACTGTTATTTCTCTAGAAAGGTATGTTTTCCTTTTCATATTTATTGATTTCACTTTTGTAAAAAATTGAAAACCTAAAATGGGAGAAAAAGTTTCTTTCCCCTAATCATTGATAACCTAGAAAAAGTGAGACACTTACAAAGTCATCCTAGAATTAGAATACTACTTCTAAAAGCAAGATTACTTCTAAAATAAAACCTGTTCTCAACATCTGTTTGCCTCGGGTGTTTTTGCAAATTTTAGAAGTTAAATGAGTTTGACAGGAGTTAAATCCATGGATAAGGAATCAATACTATTGAGGATTTTGGAGATGCCCAGACTAGAGCTTTTTGAAATTAACTTCATGGAAAACTGTCATTAAGTTTTAAAATAATAAAAAAAAAATTCTGCTTGGTATATGATTGCTATGGACAGCATACAACTCAATGGAAGGCAACCTTCTATTTAGAACTTCTGGCTTTGTTTTGTTTAGTAAAGCAAAATAAAAACACTAATACCATGTAGACCATAGGTTCAGGAAGAAATACAGACTGAAAGTTAAATGCACTAGTCAGAAAGTCAAACTGTAAATCACAGATTTAATTAAAATTTCCCCTTTCTTCCAATGAAGCATTTGTGAAAAGGGAAGGTGTCAGAAAGAGTAACTAATCATGTCAATTCCTTGCCAACCAGCAGACGGTTTACTTAATCTATCCAAGGTAAACTTTGAACTTGACACAGGAAATTCATGGAGCATGACTCCATAATGACCACAGTGGTTTTCTTTTGGACATTTTTGAGCCAGAAAGAAAAAGAAAAGAGTGTCAGTTTCAAAGAGACAGAAAAAAGGGGAAGTAGGAACTTTGGTGTCTAGGCAAGGGGTCAGGGATTCTGTCAGACCAGATTATTGAATGGGTGGTTTTCTCATTTTGAAATAGTGGCATCAAACATGATAATTTCTAAGGTTATTTCTCTACTGAAAATAATTTGATTCTAAGAGAGATGAGTAACATTTATTTGATACAGAAAAGCTGTGTTAATATGTATGTGGAGAGGATTTTAACCCCAAGCCACCAAACCCTTGAATGTGACTGTTTCTTACTGTCACTCATGGCCAATAGAATATAGCCTGAGGTAAAGACTCTTTAGTTGAGAAAAACTAAGCTTGTGACTCAAGATAACGGGAAGGTAAATCAAAGAAGAGTAAAGTTTTGCTAAAAGTCTAGGAGACTTCAGGAATTCTGTTCCTAGCTCAGACCCTAAAAACATTAATTCCCTCCTAAGGGTTTCATAAAGGTATTTATAGTTTTTCACAGAGAGCAGCTAATTTACTTTCCTTTGTAAAACGTTAGAAAAATACTCTGATGAATACTGATGCATCTATTTCATTCAGTTTATTCCTAATTGGAGAACATTTGGAATAATGAAAAATGTTTAACAAGATTTCACTGTCTCATTTTTTTTTTTAGAACTACTACTTTGGCTTATGTAAATATTGGCCTCATACATCTGCTATACCTGGATAACTACACGGAAGCCATTTGGCAATTTTCTGAGGCTATTAGAATTGATCCTTTATGTATTCAAAGCTATCTTTGTCGAGCAGAAACCTATTTTAAGGTATTTAAGGCTTGAGAAGCTTCATTTTTTTAAAAAAAAACTTTAATTTTCTGGATATTTGTTCAGCATAATTTTAATATATATATACATATTTTAGATAATTGTAGGGGCTAATGCATTTATAAACAATGTGTTAAGCTGATAGTTAACTCTAATTACTCATTTATAAAGCTTCTACTTTCAAGGTGTGCATTTTTATGTCTTTCACTTTTGAAAATAATACCTTTTTTCCTTTATTACAAAAGCATTATATATTTATTGCAGGTAATATATGCATGCAAATACAAATAAACTAAAAGCTATTATCTATAATTTTATTCTCTAGGGATAGCTGCTCTAAACAATTTGAGTCTATGGTCCAATGTTTTGTGTGCGCGTGTGTGTGTGTGTGTGTATGTACATACAGGTGAGTAGGTAGATATATACAATGGGATCCATCCATAGAATGGGATACTGACCATTCATACTTCCCTTTAATTTTGTTTAATTTTTATAAGTTGTTTAAATTAAAAATAAATGTTATATGTCCCAGCTGTGACAAATTAAAACAGCACAATAAATAGGAAAAATCCTCTCCAATTCCAGCCAGATCTGATTTTCAGAGATAACGCTATAACTTTTGTCTCTACCCTTCAAAGTAGACACGCATTTCCACCACTTCACCTCTAACTAACCTGTCCAAATACTAGTTTCTCACCAGGATTTTCAAATAGCAGCCACGGTGATCTTGCCAAAACATGTCAGATTATTTCATTTCTTTGCTCAAGCCCTTCAATAGCTTCCCTTGTGTTTAGAATAAAAGCTAAATTCTACAAAAGCCAAAGATCTGAAAGACCCCACAGGAACCATCTCCTAATTGCCTTTCTACCTTTGTCTCCTGTCTATGCTGGTTTCAGCCAGGATAAACTAGGCTATGCTGGGGTTAAAAGAAAAAAAACCTTCAAAATTACTGTATTAAAACAAAGGTTTATTCCTGGCACACACTATATGTCCCTGGAGGATTGCCTGGAGGCTCTGCCCTCCATTGTCTACGTCTCAGGACCCAGTGTGACTAGAATCCCATTCAAAGTCCTTACTCTGCTGACGATGGAGGTGGGGACCCAGGGCAGGTTCATTGTTGCCATTAGGTCATGTTAGCTCTTGACTCTGTCGGGGAAAGGATGTACATACTCATAGTGTGTGGTTCTTTTGCTTAACCTAACCCTGTTGATGAAGCCAAGACCATCTGTGGAAGTTGGAGTTTCTCCGAACACACAGAGAAATCAAAACACTAGCATGATAGCAAGCTGTAAGGATATAGTCAAAGGCTGTTCTGAGAGGCAAAAATCTCTATGCCATAATGATTGAATAGTTTGTGGTGCATTCACACCATAGAATGTAACAGAGATAGTGACAAGAATAATAGAACTATGCTAGCTGACTTGGAAGGGTTTCCATGAGATATTTTTGAGTTACAAAAGTAGGGCTCACAAAAGAGTGTGAAGTGTGTACAATACAATTCCATGTAAATAAAACAATTGTAAATAAACCCTTGTATATGTATGTACAAGAATATATACTCTCATTATGTGGGTTCATCCTCCAGGGTAAATCTAATCTAAGGTTGCCTGGTAGTGGTCTAATGTCTCTGGATCACAGGGAAGCTTGTAGAGATCTGAGAATGTGCCTCCATTTGTCTTAAGTCGGGGTTTCCTCAATGCATAGACATGTATGGTTGGTAGAACAGGTGTAGCAATGTGGACATATGACTATATGATTTATTAATTACACCATCCTGAATAGGGTTAGCTTAGGAAGCAGCAGGCCTGAAGTTCCACAGAAAATTTCCAATTTGTTTTAACAAATTTCAAACTTCCTCCTTTTCTGTTCCCTCTTTTGAGTCCATCCACCATTTCCTCCAAACATTTTTACCATCTCTACAGGTACTGCCTGCTTCCATGCACAAATTAGTTTTGTACATTTGCTTCTTTGTATCATTGTGCGATAACAATAAAAGGATTGGTTGGTTGTCCCAGGTTAATTTTGCTCTGGTCTGCAGAGTGCTCTGTTGTCAGTATTTCCAATGGTAGTTGATTTTGTCCCCAAATTTGTACAAATTCAGTTTCTGTGACCAGTATTAAGGGAATGATTAATGTTTACTTTTCATTATATATTGATGTTAAACAGATGACTTTTCATCATTTTTTTATTTTGTTATATTCATTCATTTACTTAATTTTTGTGCAGGCCTGTTCTTCCTCCCTTATTTTTAAGTGGAATATAGTTTTAGTTTTTATCTTACCGTCCTTTGCATGCTACTTTATTTCTTAGTCTTTATTCTTATTATTGTTTTTGTCTAGACAGGGTCTCACTATGTTGACCAGGCTGGTCTTGACCTCCTGGCCTCATCAAGCGATTCTCCTGTCTCAGCCTCCCAAAGTGCTGGAATTAGAGGCCTGAGCCTGGCCTGCATGCTACTTGATTAAGATGGATCAGGTTAACTGAAAAAGTTGTTAGGGTTGAGGGAGAAAAACTGAAAGCTAAATGATAAAAGAGAACACAAACATGCACACAATCCAGAATGTATTATGTAATCACATTTGTGTGAAATAGTATATATGTGGGTATGTATAATTATTATTCAAAATTAAAGATTGATTATTTTTAAAAACTAAGAGTATATCATAAATTTTTCTTTTCACTTCTCTGTAACCTATTTGCTTTGTTGATTCTTAAGAAAAACATGTATGTTAGGAAATGTACCTGCAAAATTTCTGTAGAAAGGGCGAGAGAGAATAAATATCAGAAAGGAAGCAACTGGTATTATTAGGAGCTAAGTTTCTGTTTATCACTCAACAGTTGCATAAATTGAAAAAGGCAGTAAATGAATTGTCTCGTGCTATCCACCTTCAGCCAGATGGAATCCAATTATACATAAGAAGGTATGAGCATAGAAACTGAATTTTTCCTGGGATAACTTAGCATCAGAGAAATTGAATGGGGATCTTCAGTTCCCTCTTGAACCTTTCAGACTCCCCATTTTACATTTAATCTCCCAGTAATTGCCATTTCCCCACCAGCAAGCCAGTTTGTTAAACTTTAAGATAGTTTATTACATAAGATAACAAGATTTTTCCCTTTGCTCTACCTTTGCATCAAAATATACCTGTTTAGTGTTTATGTTCTTTGAGACCTTTTTAAGCAACTAGTCATATAGTTATCACATATCTCATAAGAGTAAGGTAACATATTTTGAACAGTTGTTTTGATTATGTCCACAATCAAACATGAGCACGTGTACCAAACATAAACCTCCATGAATTCAGTGAAAAGAAATGACATATTGAATTTTACACCATTTCTACGGGTACTGCCTACTTCCATGCAGTATTTCAAATGTAGTAGAATTTTCTATAAAGATATCCTTTGCAAGTTATGAGTTATCACTATCAAAAATATAATCTTTTAAGGATTTATAGACCTGGGAAAATGGAATGAGACAATGCTTTACTGATAAGGGCTTGCTTTGTCCTTGAACCACATTTTAGCAATTTATGTAAATACCTCGTTCCTTGTATATGCCTTGAACTTTATCTTTTAATAATTTCTCAGCAAAAAGTATAACATTTTAAATACAGATAATTACAAAAAGAGATTTGGGTATTTTTCTTTCAGCGTTACATTTCCTAAGTTTCCTCATCACATCACTATGCTAATTGATCTATTTAGATTATACAAAATGTCTATAATTTTCACTTTTTTAATGCATACATAAGTAAATAAGAATAAATATATTGCAAAATTTTAAGTAACTGATTATAAGAAACTTTATTTTAGAAAGTTTATTTTTAGCTGCTTGGAATCAAAATCGATTATTTCTTCCAGGGGACAATATCTTCTTATGATGAAATGTTATGATCTTGCAAAGTTTACTATTTATCAAGTAGCAGAAATGGACAAAGGTAAATATAATTAATTACAACTTTTAAGAAATACTTCAGTATTTAAAATTTTTATGCTATTTTGCAATAGTTATGTATAAATAGCATGAAGGATCCAATTGAAAATCAAATTAGATTTTGAAACTTTAGTTTTACATGTACATTGCCAATTAGTAAAATGATTCATAGCAGTGAATTTTGTGAGAGAGATTTTTATGGGAAATATTAAGCTTACAATTTTTCTATTTTTTGTTTGTAATTGGAATGTCTTGGTTACTGGTAGTAAATAAATCTTAGTATAATTTGTTAATTTTATAATTTGTTGATTTGTTAATTCATATTATAAAGACAAATTATTGAATTACTCCCTTAGAATAATTATATTCAAAATCCTTGATACTTGGCAAAGATATTGATAAACTTTCCTTTCCTTTTAGGTCTCATTGAGTTGAGTCCTATACAGCAAGCCCTCATTTATTCATTTTGTGAAAACCACGACAAGGCCATTGAGGTCTTGGAAGGAATCAGCTGGAATAGAGCTGAGATGACCATGTATGCTCTATTAGCAAAAGTTCAAATGAAGGCCAAGAGAACCAAGGTGAAAAGTCCTCTGAGTAATGTTTACTAAACCTATTAATGAAGTGTATATATTGTGCTTAGTATACCACTTTAAATATTTTTCACAAAATTAAGTCATACTATTTATTTATTTTTCTGTGAATTAACATTTGGGTTATTTTCTCTCTCTTTTTATTGCCCCCTCTTAAGAACAGGGCTGCCCTAAATATTCTTTTTCATGTATTCAATCAGCATGTGGAGTAGTTTTCCAGGATATATTTCAAGGAGTGCAATTGGTGGTATGTAGAGAATGTGAATGTTTAACTTTCAAGGAAATGACGCATTGTTTCATAGGGTGGTACCAATTTATTCTCCCACCCGAAGTGTAGGTGTATTCCTGTTCCTGTTGATCTGCATCTTTTATAGTAATTGATATTGTTAGGCTTTAGTTTTGCCAATTTGGTGGATAAAAATTGATGTCTCGTGGTCTTAATTCACACTTCTCAGTTTGAGCATCAGGTTGAGAATCTTTTTATGTTTATAAGCCACTCATATTTCCTGTTCTATCAATTTGCTATACATATTTTTCATTTCTCTTGTTCTTATTGATTTTAGGTATTTAAGATATAAATTCTGTATACTAATCCTCAATTGTGTGCTGAGTATCTTCTTACAGTTTGTGGCTTGTGTTTTGTTTCTACGGTGTCTTCTGATGAACAGAACTTCTGAAGTTTAGTGTAGTTGAATATGTCTATTTTAAAATTTGTCATCAGGGCGTCTTTAAAAACATCTTGTTTAGGAAGACCTTTTCTACTCCAAGGTCAAGATATTCTTCCCTATTTTCTTTGGAAAGTTTAAGTTTTTCTTTTTCCATTTAAGACCTTACTCTATCTTAAGATTATTCTTTTTTAGCATGAGAGAGTGATAAAATTTCAGTTTTCTCCATATGGGTATTTAAATGTTTCAGTAACATTTATTGAGATGTTCTTCTTAACCGAAAAATCTGCAGTGGTACATCTATCTTATTACAAGTTTTCACATATGTGTGGATCATGTGCTATTTTAGGTTCTCTGTTCTGTTCCTTTGGTCAATTTTTCTATTACTGGCCCAGTAGTACAATGTCTTAATTGCTATAATCTCATTGAAATTATTGATATCTGGTGGAGCAAGTCCCCACACCATATTCTTCTCTAGGAAACTCCTGGTTACTCTTCAGCATTTACTCTGCCATATATGTGTTAAATTTAGCTTGCCCAAGGTCCATTAAAAAATCTCTTGAAATTTTGAATCTTTAGATTATTTTAGGGAGAATTGACATCTTTATGATATTGAATTCTTTAGTTTATGATCATAATGATATATCTCCCCATTTATTTCACTTTTTCTTTTGAATAGATTTTACATATCCATTGCTAAAAGTTTCCTAGTTTTCTAGGTTTTTCCCATAGTTTTTGCTGCTATTATAGAGGGTATCTTTTTAAAAAATGTTCTGTTTGCTGATGGCTTGTAGAAATGAAACTGATTTTTGAATACTTATTTACTAGCTGACCACCTTGCTGAACTTGCTTATTTCTGAAAATGTTTAGGTCTGTTCTTTTGGGTTCATAACTAGGAAAATATGTCATCTATAAATAATAATAGTTTTATTTTTTTCCTTTCTTTTTATGTATTCTGTTTCTTATTCTTGTCTAACTGTGCTGGCTAGAAACTCCAAGACAATACTGACTAAAAGTAGTGACAAAGACACCCTTATTTTCTTCCAAATTTTAAAGGAAGTTTACCCCTAAGAATGAAGTTTGGGATTGATTTTTGTAGATAACTTAAACAAAGTAAAGGTTAAATAACCTTTGTTTCCATTTTGAATTTTATCACATTATTTTTCATCAGGTATTGAAACAATTATTATATTTTTATCCTTTAATATGTTAATGTAGCAGATTATATGTCACACATGAAATTAAGTAATCTATGACATTGTTTAGTATTAGACCAACCATGTATTCCTGGGTTAAACCAACTTGATCGGAATATATAATCTTTTTGTAGACATTGCTAAATTTGAGTTGCTTGTGAGGATCTTTGTGTCTATATTTATGAGTGGGATTAGTTTTGTGGGATTTGAGTATTGATCTTATAAGATTATTTGGAGAGTATTTCTTCTTTTCTATTTAGTGAATGAGTTTGTCCAAAGATTGTAAGGATGTCTTCTTTGAAAGATTATTTAATGCTTTAATATCTAGTACATGACACACATTTAATAAACATTAGCCATTATTATTCCTATTTTTTTCTCCCTGGGCATTTTAAGACTTTTTATAGGCTTCATTCCATAAGCATTTAATCATGAGAAACTACCTTTAGTATGAAAACTAAAAAACCTTTATTTTTGCTCTCTTGACCTCTCCAGTTACTGGCTTTTTTCTCTTTAATCTGGCACAACCAAATCTTGCAAAATTGTTTATATCCCTTATCTTCATTTCCTCACTTTCCACTCATTCTGCTGCTCACCACAATCTGGTTTCTTTCCTCTTGGGCACATGATAAGGTGACCCTCAACAAGTTGTGCGCTTGTGTGACCTTGAGTGTGAGTGGAACCTGTGACTTGCTTCTAACCAACAGAGTATGGGAAAGATGATAGGACGTCACTTCCATGATTATATTACGTTATGTAGTAGACTGGAGAGAGAAATTCCCTTCCTAGCCTTAAAAAAAACCAAAGAATTATACTATGAACTGCTTGTGGAGAGGGTATCATGGCAGGGAACTGCTGTGGCCTCATGGACCTCAGAACAATCTTCAGCCAATAGCCAATAAGAAGCCTGGACCCTCAGTCATGCAGCCATAAGAAAACGAAACCCACCAACAATCAGAATGAGCTTAAAAGAAGAGAAAAGAAGTTTTCAGATGAGAATGTAGCACAGTTGATACCTTGACTGAAGCCTGGGAAACCCTAAGCAAAGGACTCAGCTAAGCTATGCCCAGACTCCTGGCCCCTGGAAACTGTGAGATAAGAAATGTGTGTTGTTTTAAAGCATTCCGTTTGTGGTATTTTTTATTTTTTGCAGCAATAAGAAAATAATACAGATGGAGTGCCGCTATAACAAATACCTACAAATGTAGGAGCAGCTTTGGAATCAAGCAGTGGGCAAAGGCTGAAAGAATTTTGAGGAACATGACAGAAAAATCTTCAATCACCTCAAACAGACTGTTAGTAGATACCTGGTTTTTAAAGACACTAGCATTGAGGACTCTGAAGCAAATGAGCAACATGTTATTATTTTTATTTAGCAGTTCAAAGCTTAGTAAAATTTTCTCATATAGTTGTATGGAAAGCAGAACTAATAACTCAGAGCCTGGATACACAGCTAAGATAATTTCCAAGCAAGGTTTTGACAGTGCTGCCAGCTTTCTTTTTGCTTCTAATAGTAAAGTGTGAGAAAGGAGAGATAAGAACTGTTAAACAAAATAAACCAGAACTTGCTTATGTGGAAAATTTTCAACTTCTCCAGATGGCAAAAGAGGACAAAATTCACTATCAAGAGAAAAGGACAAGGTGTGGCTGGACAGCACTTTGCTAAGATCTTAGAAGGATCATGAGGGCAGAGTATTCAGTCACACTAGTTCTCTTTCCTTTCAAGAGATTAAGGACATGCCTTACAAATCTTCTTAACCAAACCAGAGGATCTCTAGAAGCTTAAGGCCATTGTCCCTCAGACATCTCAGCAGGAGGCCAAAGTAGAGAAGGAATTTTCTTGAAAATAGTGGATGTGGCTTTTGTCTAATGAAGTGAATCCCTGTGAAATCCATGGAAGATCCCCAGAGTTTTTAAGAGAATTATTCCTTTATAAACACTGATAATTTGGACTCAAACAGACAGAGTACAAAACGAAAGAAGGCTGTCAGACCTCAAAATCATTCTGACAGGAAGTAGGTTAATAAAACAACTCAGCTGCAAACATGTACAACCTTTTATAAAAAAGGAAAAAGGACCCAGAAGGCAAGACTAAGAACCCACAGGATGACACTAAGGGCCATAAATGTTTTGAAACCTAATCAAGAGACTGAGCGTTTGCCCAAATGTGTTTCAGAACTGCCATGGACCAGTGGCTCATTTTAATCTTCCATTTTTCCCTTTTAAACCAGAATATCTGTGGATATTATCCTATGCCTATCTCACCATTGTATGTTGGGTGTTTTGGGGACAGACGCCTTGTCTCTTTAATTTCACAAGTTCACAGATGGAGAGCAATTGTGCCCCAGGAGTGGGACCTCGTGGATTTTACTTGAATGCCTCATCTAGACTTGGACCTGCTTTAAATGATGACATTTTAGATGTTGAGCTGATGCAATAATGAGCTGAGACTTTGGGGGACCTTGGAATAGAGGAACGTATTTTGCATGTGGTAAGAATGTTGAATTACTGGGGGCCAGATCATTGGAGTCATCTGGTAGACACACTCTAAGATTATTATTATTATTATTATTTTGAGACAAAGTCTCGCTCTGTGGCCTAGGCTGGACTGCAGTGGCGCGATCTCGGCTCACTGCAAGCTCCGCCTCCCAGGTTCACGGCATTCTCCTGTCTCAGCCTCCCGAGTAGTTGGGACTACAGGTGCCCGCCACCACGCCCGGCTAATTTTTTTGTATTTTTAGTAGAGATGGGGTTTCACCGTGTTCGCCAAGATGGTCTCGATCTCCTGACCTCGTGATCCACCCGCCTTGGCCTCCCAAAGTGCTGGGATTACAGGCGTGAGCCACCGCACCTGGCCTCTAAGATTATTCTTAATCATACCCTGTGTTACCTCCTCACCTTCCTTGAGTATGTGCAGGACCTGTGACTTGCTTCCAACCAATAGAATACGGCAAAATTGTTGGGGTGTTGCTCCATCAATTATGTTACAGTATATAAGACCTTCTTAGCAGAGTAAAGAGAGAGAGGTTCTCCTGCTGGCCTTGTTGTGACTTCCTGTGGAGAGAGTGATGTGGTGAGGAACTGTGGGCAACTGGGACCTGAGTGCAGCCAATAGCCAGCAAGCTGGTATCTCTTATTGTGATTTTTATTTGCATCACACCAGTCAGAATGGTGATTATTAAAAAGTAAGGAAACAACAGATGCGGCCGGGTGCGGTGGCTCAAGCCTGTAATCCCAGCACTTTGGGAGGCCGAGACGGGCGGATCACGAGGTCAGGAGATCAAGACCATCCTGGCTAACACGGTGAAACCCCGTCTCTACTAAAAAATACAAAAATCTAGCCAGGCGAGGTGGCGGACGCCTGTAGTCCCAGCTACTCGGGAGGCTGAGGCAGGAGCATGGCGTAAACCCGGGAGTCAGAGCTTGCAGTGAGCTGAGATCCGGCCGCTGCACTCCAGCCTGGGTGACAGAGCGAGACTCCGTCTCAAAAAAAAAAAAAAAAAGAAAAAAGAAACAACAGATTCTGGCAAGGTTACAGAGAAATAGGAATGCTTTTATACTTTTCAACCATTGTGTAAGATGGTTTGGTACTCCTCAAAGACCTAGAGGCAGAAATACCGTTTGACCCAGCGATCTCATTACTGGATATATATCCAAAGGAATAAAAATCATTCTGTTGCAAAGATACATGTGTGTGTATGTTCCTTGTGGCACTATTCACAATAACAAAAATGTGGAATCAACTCAAATGCCCATCAATGATAGACCGGATAAAGAAAATGTGGTACATATACACCATGGAATACTATGCAGCCATAAAAAGTAATGAGATCATGTCCTTTGCAGGGACATTGACAGAGCTGGAAGCCATTATCCTCAGCAAACTAATGCAGGAACAGAAAACCAAACCCTTCATGTTGTAAGTGGGAACTGAACACTGAGAACACATGAACACAGAAAGGGGAACAACACACACTGGGGCTTGTAGGAAGAAGGGTGGAGGGAGACAGAGCATTAGGAAAAATAGCTAATGCATGCTGGGCTTAATACTTAGGTGGTGGGTTGATAGGAGCAGCAAACCACCATGGCACACGTTTACCTGTGTGACAAACCTGTGCATCCTGCATATGTACCCCGGTACTTAAAATTAAAAAAAAAAAAAAAAGAAGCTGGGGCTCTCAGTCCTGGAGTCTCAAGGAAATGAAGTCTGCCAACAACATGAATGAGCTTGGAAACTGATTCTCCCAGTCGAGTTTACAGAGGAGAATGTAGCTCAACTGACATATTGATAGCAGCTTTGTAGGACCTGGAGCAGAGGACCCAGTTAAGCCATGCCCAATCTCCTGACCTGTGGAAACTGTGAGGTGATAAATACTTGTTACTATCATTTGCTAAACGTGTAGTAATTTGACTTGTAGTGATAGAAAATGAATACACCTCTGGTTTGGAATCAAGCACTCTTGCTAACTTCATTGACTTGTTTTTTTTTTTTTTTTTTTTTTTTTTTTTTTTTTTTTTTTTTTTTTTTTGAGATGGAGTCTTGCTCAGTCGTCCAGGTGGGAATGCAGTGGCACAATCTCAGCTCACTGCAACCTCTGCCTCCTGGGTTCAAGCAATTCTCCTGCCTCAGCCTCCTGACTAGCTGGGATTATAGGCACGTACCACTATGCCCAGCTAATTTTTGTATTTTTAGTGGAGATGGGGTTTCACCATGTTGGCCAGGCTGGTCTTGAACTCCTGACCTTAGGAGATCCACTTGCCTGTGCCTCCCAAAGTGCTGGAATTACAGGTGTGAGCCACTGTGCCCGGCCTTCATTGGCTTTCTTATTGCAGATTCTGTGATCGTTTCTCAGTATGGATCATGTCTACTCTTTTGTTCACATTTGGAGTTTTTGGTCTCTGTATTCTTTGAGGACTGCTTTTTTATATTTACTTTAATCTCCTCCTCCCGACCTGTCCCCTGTGACTTTAGCTGGATACCTGATGTCACCATCAGCTACCCTCTTCCATCCAATAAATAGTGATGTTAATATAATAGTGATATTAGTGTGTGTATATATATATATATATTCTCTTGGTTCTAGTAATAAATAGTGATATATAGTATTTATATATACTATAGAAATATAGTAATAAATAGTGATGTTAATATGTATATATATTTTCTTGCTTCTACTTCCTAGATATTTCTCAAATCCACTTTCTTTCTTTATTTCTATAGCTATTATCCTGGTTTGGAACATATAATTAAAAAAATTTTTCTTGAATTATATAGCTGCATTGTTGTACTCTTCCAAGCTTTTATCCACACAGCAGCCACAGTACTTTCTGCAGACTATAAAGATGACTTATCTGCAAGCCTCTGCAGATGTCCCTCAGATGATACCATAAAGTAGTGAAAGAGAGAGAGATGGGGGAAGCAGGAGGAAGTGAAGATGTGTTCATTTTAATTTAAACGGGATGGAAGGCTTGAGTAGACAAGTTTTTTGGACTTAAGGAGTCAGTGAAGGGTCAGAAATCCAGACGAGGAAGGAAGTAACAGGTTGCTCAGGTGGGGCAGAAGGAGATGGGGTCAAGGACAGCTTTTGAGGAGTTAGCCCTGCAAGGAATGAGAAAGAAAGCAATTCAAAGACAGGAGAGAAAAAGGTTAAAGTGAATGAAGATATAGACTTGTTGAAAAGTAGAAAGGGGGGAAATCGAGACAATAATCCACTTTTTCTAGGCAAGGTCATGTGCTGAGAGTGAGGACAGAAGGAGGGATGCTGGGTGACTTGCAAACACGTAGAGCTAATGCTCGATAGAAGCCATAAAGGACACTTAGCATATCCAAGTGAAATCTCATTGTTTCTTTAGCAACTTAATACAATTAAGAAGATGGTATGACCAGGAACAATTATTTGACTTTCTATATAAAGATATACAAGGAGTAGTTAAGTATTAAATGGCATTTCTATCTTTTTCATTAATGAGACTTTTGAGTTTTTCATTTAATGAGACTTTTTCATTAATGAAACTTTTGACTATTTTGAACGTTTTCATTAATGAGACTTTTGAGTATTTTGAATAAATAAATGGGTGAGTTTTGGAGGTGGTTTATTTTTTTGATGCCAATAAAACCCTATTAGGAGGACAGCAGGACACAATAAAAATTGATTACAATTATGTCAGATATTATCAGTGGAGATCTTTTACTACCTAGTAGCTTCCTAGTATTCCATTCAAAAAAATTATTAGGAAATTATCAATAAACTAGTTTATAAATTTAAGCCTGACTTAAGCTTGAGTATAGCCTTTGGAATTTACAAATTTTAGTTCTAAAGATCCATGTCCATAAGCCTGTTTAAGTACTGGCTTGTAGGATAGGCATCTGGGTGGAACTCATGAGGGTAAGACTTCTGAACTGAATTCTCTTCCTGTAGTGTGCTGACAAGACCTGTAACTTCACCAGGTCTGTTTGTTCCCAGATAAAGTAAGAGTAGAGATGTGTGCTCTGTGCTCCTTTTAACATGTAAGGCTGTAATGTTAAATCAATAGTGGAAAGAAACATTTCCTGCCCCCTCCCTGCTTTTTTATCATTATAGGAAGCTGTGAAAATGCTTAAGAAGGCTTTGGATGTCATTTCTCATTCCGATAAAGGACCAAACACCACAGCAATTTCAGCAGACTGTCTGTATAACTTGGGTCTTTGTTACATGGAGGAAGGCAATTTACAAATGGTATTTCGTGTATTTAGGAGTATAGATTATTTGTAATTTTAGAGACTGGTTGCTTGTATGCAATTCTGTTTCCGAAGACCACGTATACAGTGGGCAACTGGTCCAGAGCTGCTTTTGAAGCTTGGCTCATTATAGTCAGTCTGCACCCTGCAACACCTAGGACATTGTTTTATTTAGCCAACATGTTTTATTTGATGCTTGTTTGTCAACAATATTCTAAAGATTAATGTATGTTTCCCACCAGAACAATAAATCTAACTGCAGGAAATTATTACAGTAAAATAATTTTATCACATTAGTATGAATTCACTTATTAAATTTTAAGTACTTTAAATGCTTTAACATAATGCAGAATAAATGGAAAAGATTAGGGCATTCTGGCTTTTCTTATTGATCATTGAACAATTCAAATCAGATTGAAACGGGTTGTTAAGATGGCCAGATACACTGAAAAACAGTTGATTCAATTATTACATATTTATCCAGTCTTTGGTGATTTTAGGCAAGTCTTTACTTCAAAATTATCACTGATATGACAAATATGTAAAATAATTGATACTATCTGATGGCTAATGTTGGATATTCTACAACTCTATCTCTAGACACTCACAGACACACAGACACACACATACAGACACACACAGACACACACATACGCACGCACAAATACACACACATCATTCTAATTCTTAGGTTCATGGAGTGGACAGTGTTTTAAAGTGGTATTGGTATACACAAAAAAAGAGGTGCACTTGATTAGTTGTTCTATTAAGAAATTCCAGTAAGTATGTGACAAATTACAAATATTTTACATGTTTTTAGTCCTTTTGAACAACCAGAGCAAACTCAGCTTTGCTTTAAAATGTGGGGAAAATTTTTAGAGTTCTGTGGTTCTGCAGTTTTATAATGATGCATTTGCTGGATCCTAATGGAAAATAAATGTGCTAGTTGTGATTTCTTTGAAGAAACAAAATCTGAATAACAATTAAAATTATACCACCCAAAATATTGTAATATAACAATATGGATTATGTAGACCTTAGTCTGGGAATAAGACCTTTAATTATAATAATCATCTCTACTTGTTTCTAAATATTAGTTTTATTTGTTCCATGAGATCCATTAGGAGAAATGTATTAAAATAATCCAAAAATAGAGTGAAACTTTTCAACAACAGTTATATACTGTAATTCATTAACATTTTAAAACAATATATTATATCACTAAATGGTTTGCATTTTGACAATATGCTCCTGTAGGCTTTTGATTCTTTTACAAAAGCTGTGAAAGCAAATCCAGATTTTGCAGAAAGCTTTTATCAACGAGGGCTTTGTAAAGTGAAACTCCACAAGGATAGCTCGATTCTGGATTTTAATCGTGCCATTACCCTCAATCCAAAACATTACCAGGTATTTAAATAGATGTTTTTAGTGAGTTGTAAAGTGTTAATTTTGGTAAAACTATTAAATCTCTTATATGCCATTGTTATTAGTTAGCACCAATCAGTTTCTTATACCTACTTTTCACTTAACTGTATTTTGATAATCCAAATAGCTGTATTTCTCCTTAAACTAAAAGTATTCTTTCCATCAGTGATATTATGATGTTATATATAAATATATATGTGATGTGATGTATGTAAATATTGTTAATATATTAATGTGGCTGTTAATACTTTAAAGTTTATATACTCATTAATTTTACTTACTTTTTGTTTTGATGTTACATAGATACCTAGCTTTCAATAGACTGTACAGACAACACAAAATTCAATAGGTGAAGCTTGATCGCATCTTGATTTTAGGAATCTACAAAATTCGAATCTGGTCTAAATATTAGATGATTTTAGGAAATTTCTATAAATCATCTTGGATATATAATGGCAGTGTGGTTATGTAGGAGAATGTCTTTTTTTCACAGGAGATGCATACTAGAGGACTTGGGGTAAAGTATTACCATATCTACAACCTGTTTTCAAATAGTGCAGGAAAAAAATAGAGAAATATGGCAAAATGTTAATAATTGTTAACTCCAGGTGATAGGTATTTATCATTCTTTCAATTATTCTGTGTCATTTGAAATTTTTTTTCTAATAAAATAAATTTTTTTAAAAGGCTATATTTTAATACCCTCTTTGGGAGGCATAGATTTGTTCCAAGTATCATATATTTTGGTAGAATTGGTGCTTTTACTAAAGCACCCATTCCTGCTTTCTCTCTCTCTCTCTCTCTCTCTGAATAGGCATATTTAAGCCGAGTAGCATTCTATGGTTTAAAAGGCAGGTATTCCAAAGCAATCTTGAATTGTAACAAGGCTATAAAAATTTACCCTGAGAGCGTACGTGCCTATCTCTACAGAGGAGTTCTGAAATACTACAACAAGGTAGGGCCATTTCCTGCCTGGCTTACTGAAATTTTAGGGTGGGAAGACTCTTAATGCTAGGCAGGGGACTCACTTACTTTTTTTCTTTGTGGTTGGGAATCACTGTGATATGAAGGGCAGAACTACATAGAAAACTTTACACTTTCCCAATTCATATTTTTTTCACAAAATAATGGTATTTATTTTTCATATTACATTTTAAATAACATTTATTATTTATTTTTATTAAGAATGTAGCATATATTCATTGCAGAAAATTTGGAAAAATACGGAAGGGAATAAAGGATTATTATCTCACCATCAGTGATAATTCCTGAGTGCATTTGTAATATTTGTATTTAGTCTTTTACTTTCCTCATAAAATATGATATGTATTTTCCAAAATTTGGACTATGCTACTTATATAACTTGTGTGGTGTCCTGCTTTTTACACTTAATCTTTGAAGATAGTATTTTGCTGACTGCATAATATTCCACCATAATTTACTTTTAATTACTTTATTGTTGAACTTTTTGATTGTTTTTAAAATTTTTACTATTTTACTGTTTAAAATAATATAGTTATATACATCTGAGAACAAAATTGCTGCTTGGGTTTATGATTGGTTCTTAAACAGAAGTCACTGGGTTAAAAGTTGTGAGCAGTACCATTGATATGTGATACTGCACTGAATACTTTATTTCTCTCTACTTTTCCTTTCTGATCTTTCTTTGTAGCTATTTTATATGAAATTTTTACAAATAATACCTTAAAGCAAAGGTAAGGCCTTGCATTATGTGTTAATTCCATGAAAATTACTATCTATAGAAATGGATGATATAAGGTATCAGAGAAGAATCAAAGAGGAAGCAAAAGAGAACAAGGGTAGAAAACATGATGATTATGTGATATGACAGTCACAATGACAGAAGCAAGCAAGCACTGGTGAATGTTTGCTGCATTAATGTGGTTGGCTTTATTTTATTTTACCTAGAAGTATGATTTTCTCCTTGCCATATACCAACACTGGTAATAAGATATTTACCTAAATTAAAGTTGTTGATATATTTAATTTTGTTTGTAGGTAAGAGAAACTATAATGATAATTTCTACCAGGAGATTTTCTTAGTTAACTCTGTGAAAGATTAGCTTCAATGTATTAATTTCACAGATGATACAAGGAATGGTTAAATGAGTGTTTCAAAAACTCTGATAGAAACAAGAATTTATTTTATGATTAAATTTCAGTCCATTATGATTTTCCTTTCTCACATAATTACTTTTTTCTTTTTAGACTTATAAGCTAGCAATTACAGATTTAACCACAGCTATCAGCATGGACAAAAATAGTTATATAGCATTTTATAACAGAGCATTATGTTACACCAAGATAAGGGAACTTCAAATGGTAAGATGACCATTTTAGTAAACAATGTGTTTAAAGTGTTTAATAAATAACATGCATTAAATAGCTTGTTGATTTCAGTCAATAAACATGTAATAAAGAATACATTAAAGCATTTGTAAATTCATTTAAGGCATTTATAAAGTATTTTCTTATTACTTCTGCTAGAATTTTCAAAAGGAATTCCTAAGAAATACACACATATAAAACTTGAGAAACCAAAGAACCATTTCAAAGAATATTTGATTTCTTTGTTGGTGCTCACGAAATTTTCTTATATAATTTCTGAAAGAAGTCAAATGAAAAATTAAGTTGATAATGCTTATAGAAGCATTTAAAGGCATTTATAAATTAAATCCATCACATAATTATCATTTGAATAAATGTTTCTACCGTATGCAGAATTTTTTATTTTTTTTTTGAGACGGAGTCTCACTCTGTTGCCCAGGCTGGAGTGTAGTGCTGTGATCTTGGCTCACTGCAACCTCCACCTCCTGGGTTCATGCCATTCTCATGCCTCAGCCTCCCAAGTAGCTGGGACTACAGGCACCTGCCACCATGTCCGGCTAATTTTTTGTATTTTTAGTAGAGACGGGGTTTCGCCATGTTAGCCAGGATGGTCTCAATCTCCTGACCTCGTGATCCGCCTGCCTCGGCCTCCCAAAGTGCAGAATTTTTAAAGCAGTAGCAATCACTAGCAATATTGTGGTTTCAAAATTTTAATGTTAGCTACAGCAGTTTGCGTAGGCATTCTTTTGTTTGGTCCTCAGACCACACATGTAGCACGGAGTATGGAGTGATGGTTTTCAGCTCCAGGGACCAGTGACCAGGTTTGGCCCATATTTTGAAGGCCTGTGGGCTGCAGCAAACCTTTTTTTCCATTTGTCTTGATCCAGTGTCTGCCGGAGCAAACTCTTGTTTATATTTGTAATCTTACCTACTCTCTTCTCTCCTCTGTTGGTTTGGTCCCTTTTCAATGAGGATTCCTCACTGGGGAGCAGCTAGTCTTGTGGTCTTTCAGAATAATGTCCCATCCTCTTCCTCTGTTACTTGTCTCCCTCTCCTTATTCCTGCCCATGTCCGTAGTAAATGACGCATTCTTTTAAAAGGCTAGGTCACATTCCTGCTGTTCTTTGTTCACACACTCCCCAGTCTGTGAAACGTGGACAGTGAAATCTGTTTAAAACATTTAGAAATTTAGAACTGTACAAGCTTTAGAAGGGAAGTTGAGAAACTTTGTCTCTACCTAAGAGTATATAAAATTCTTGGTAACCAGATTATCAGGTTTCCTCCAGAGATGTTGATAAATGAATAGCTAATTTTTAACAAGGGGATTGTTAAGATGCTAGCAGCTGACAGAAAGATCATTTATTAGAGTGACCTGCACAACAGGGGCCTTTGAGGATTCCCTCCCCAACCCCATTCTTGTAGGAAAGGTAACCCTGAATAGGAAAACAATGGGCTGGGGTGGGGAGGGAACACTCATTGTTTTGTTATCTCAGATATGTGAAAGAGCCAGTGCCCTGTTAATAAAGAAAATGCAAAACTACCTAAATCAAGTAAAACTAAATTACGATAATAAAATATTGGTGATTTCAGAGCTGCCAGGACTCTGAAGCATTTTATCCGATCTGCTAACTTTACAGATGAGGAAATGGAAGTAGGGAGAGGTTCGAAAAACCATCCAAGTCACACAGAGGGAGTTAGTGACCTGTATTGTCATCCACAAATTTGTTTGCTTCTGGGTTAACAGTGTTTAGGTGGCTTTGTAAAACCGTCTGACCTCCAGCATGTGGACTGGATGTCATTAAGCAGTGTGTCCTCCTCCACCTGTTTCTCAGCATTCCTGCCATCCCTAGCCTGAGAAAAACCAAGTAACTTTCTGCAGAAAATGCACTTAGGCATTCTCCCAAGATATAGTTTCATAAAAACTAAGGAAAGATGAATTCTGGTTCTAACACTTGATATTAATAAAAATACTGAACAGTTACCACTTATTTAGGGCTTATTGTGTGACAGGAACTGAGCTAAATGCTTCACTGAGATACAATCAAAACATTTTTAAGTAGATCCTTGTAACAATATGATGAATTTTTAACACGCCAATTTTGCAGATGAGGAAGCTAAGGCTTAGTGTTAAGTAATTTTCTCCAAATCGAGGAGTTAGTAATGATAACAGAGGCATGGCACAAATCCAGGAGAGGCCAAGGCCCTGAGCCTTCCTCTTAATCAAAACCTGTGTGTTCCCATCCCTACCCCTTACCCTCATTGATCTTTACGAAATCTTATTTCCCAGTTTTTATTTCCTCTTGTGTTGCAGATTCAGCTGCTCAGTGGATCTCCAAGGCATCATACTGGTTTCACATAATGTAATTTAGTAAAAGAAAAATGTTAGACAATTTGTGGCTAATATTCTAGGTTTGGTTTTTTCTTTTTTGACAAATATTACTATTTATTTTTATAGTCCTGGTAATTTTTATTTATGATTATGCCACAACATACCTATAGGATCTTTAATTGCACATTTTTTTAAAGACACTTGAGCACCCAACATTAGGAAACACCAGAGGAGGACAAATGAACAAATATAAAATGCTCTTTGTCATTTTCAGTTGGCAGATGCTACAGGCATAATAAGATTTAGCCCTTTTCTGTTCAGACCATATGGCTGTTTTGGACAGAATGTTCAGTAGGAAAATGGTTTAAGAGATTCAGCTCCAACCCAAGTTTAGGATGCTTCTAGTACCTAGTGCAGAGTAGAAACCAGTAAAATCTTGTTTAGTCAGTGAATGTAAAAAAAACAAAAAAAGGTAAAAGTAATGGAGAAGGGTCTGAGTTGTTCTCAGATTACACTATGTGTCTTTTAGAAAAATGAATATATTTATCAAAATATTTTGAGGTAACTTTCATACAAGTGCTTATTTGTTAGTTTTATTAAGATCTATTTTCATTGATTCATGACTTTTTCATTGTATACAAATTTATTGAATGCATGGTATGTGTAGGCTTGATTCTTGTTACTGGGCTTAAAACAGTGAACAAAATGGATAAGCTATGGCTTCATAGAGCTTAGATTTCAGCAAGGAAAACAATACAACACTAAAAAGAAATTATATATTTAATGATCATTTGATGAAACTACTGAGTCAGGGCAGAGTGCTAAATCCCTCTCTTCCAGCCCATACACCAATGAAAATGTATGGGGTGACTTGCAGGTAAAACATGAAATGCAAGCACAGTGTGCACTGCTTATTGAAAAGTGTCCATGATACTTTTTGCCTAAGGGTACCCTTTACATCTAACATATGGTTATTTTGGCCATAAATTATAAAACAAATTGAAGAACTAACCATTGGGTCCTACTTTGGACATAAATATATTTGTCCATAGCCAATGAATTCAGGCTCTAAAAAGCTGAATCTATGTTACAAATGATTATTTTATTTTTAGGCATTAACAGATTATGGAATTGTGCTGCTTCTTGATGCTACAGAAACTGTAAAACTAAATACGTTCCTTAATCGTGGACTCATCTACCTAGAACTGGACCAGTATGGCTTTGCATTAGAGGTAAGCCTTCCTGTTATGTAAAGAACCCACTTGATTTTGCACATTGACTTCTGAGAACTAGTGAACAAGATTTTATTATTATCAACTGGCAATATTAATGAGTGATAGCTTAACTTTAGCAAGAATTCTATTAAAATACTTGAAATGACTAATAGACTCTGTGAAAAAAAATGTGTATTTTTGCTTTGTTTGGATTACAGATAAACAGCCAATACATTTTTAGACATTTCTAATTTGATCAAGACCATCACTTCTCTTAAGGGAGTACAGACAAAACTCAAGTTACTTAGTGAATAAAATGATTCCTGTAACGTGTACTCTGCTGTTTAGTGGCAACTTTCTCAAAATTTTCCTCTTTTTCCCTTTGCAAATATAGCAAAATAAATCTGTTTCAAACAGGGCAGGAAATAGTTGCTCAGAATGGGCTACTGGTAACAGGTTTTTAAGTTGGTGGTGACAGGCGTTCAGAATCAGTAGAAAAAAGCATAGACTAGGTATTCAGATGAAACAGGTAGTTTAAATGTATTTCATTAAAGAATAATTAAACAAAATTCATCCTCATTTTTAACTTTTTATTTTTATTGTCTGTTTGTAACTCTTAGATTAAGAAACAGGAGGTAAAAATTAAATAGCAATTTGAAATGTATAGTTAAATAATAACAGTTTTGCTTCTTTGTCTCTGAGGAACTGCAACATGACATATGGAGTGGAGTACATCCTGTTCTTTCCACCTCCCAAGATGATTATTTTTTCTATTTCTGGAGTCATTTTTTTGAGATTCTGTGCAACATAATCATTTACCTTTGAGGAAGTTTACGCTATGAATAAATGTGATCTCAATGTTTGAATACCTTTAAGCTTTTTGATATATTAAAAATATTTTTGAGCTGTGTTACTAGGTATACCCTCAGGTAGATGAAAATAAAGAACCTGCCTGTTTGTAGTAGGCAAGAAAACAATGGGCAACAGTGTTGAGGTGGAGAGAGTGAGATAATGGAGATGGGGAACAAGGGACTGCAGCTGTTAGAGAATTAAATGCAGGGCCCATGTTATCCTTTGTATAAAGATTTATTTAGTACTAAGCAACCACTAAACAACTGTTGCACACTTGCTACACACTGGGTCCTCAACAATGTTGCACAATTCATCATTGTAACTTACAGAGGAGGAAACTGGTATTCAAAAGAGGTTAAATAAGGCCTTTCCACAGTAAGTACTGGGGTAAGATCTGAACTCAGACCTCAATTCCAAATTCTATCTTCTTTCAGACGAGGCACTGGCATTAATATATGGAGATAAATGAGACAGAGTTCCAGTCTTTGAGGAGCTGATGGTCTAGGGAGAGTCATTCTTGTCCCCTCTCTTTCCTCACACCCCACATCTGACCCATTAGCAAGTGCAGTCAGCTCTACCACTAAAGCATATTTTGAATTAAATCATCTCTCATGATTGCCACTGCTATCTTCCTTTCAACCAGTAAGTACTGGGGCAAGAGCAGAACTCAGGTTTCAGAACTGAATCATTTCTCTTCTGGACTACTGTAGTAGCTTCCCAACTGGCTTAAGGTTCCACTCTTGCCCCTCTACATGCTATTCTCTAAACAGATGCCACAGAAATCTCTTAAAAATATAAAGCAGATCAAGTTATTCCTTTGCTCAAAACCCTCTGATGGCTTCCCATCACACTTAGAATAAAATCTGAACTCTTGACTGTGACCAAGCAAGACATTACTTGATATGACTGCTGCTCACCTCTGATCTCGTCATCAAACATTCTCTTCTCTCCACTAGTCATGCCACCCTGGCCTTTTGCCATTCCTTGGAAATGCTGGGCTCCCTTGCTGCCCTAGGACCTTTACACGAGCGAGTCCCTGTGCATACAGCACTCTTCCTCCTGATCTGTGTATGATTCATGCCATCGTTTCATTTAGGTTTCTGCTGAAATGTGACCTCTTCAGTCAAAAAGGTAGAAGCTAAACTAAAATGGAATATTAAAAAATATTAAAAGAATCCCATATAAGTCTAGGAAGGGGAAGCAGAGGAACAGAAACGGAGAAAATCAGCAGAAAAGAAATAATAAAATAGTAGACCTAAATCCAGCCACACCAGTAGCTAATATTAAATGGAAGTAGTCAAAATACAACAATGAAAATCATGAAAATGTGTGATTGGAATTTTGTAAAAGTCCCAACTATATTTTGGCAACCAGAAACACATTTTAAGTATAGTGATATAGATAGGTAACAACAAAAAGCTGGAAAGGATATATCACAGAAACACAAATTGAAAGCAAAAAATTCAATTTTTCTCTATGTGAAGTTAAAAAATTAATTCAAACAACTAAAAAACGATGTGAGCAGGGGAAGAAGCAATGAAATATATAAGACTGAGTAATTAGAGGTCTGCATGAAAAACCAAGAGGAAGTAGAATCTTTAAAAACACTTTTAGTGGGAAAGATTGATTAACAGAGAAGCTGAGTAGCCTGAGTGCTGAAAACATTGGTTAGTTGAGAGCTGTATGCCCTTCATAGGAACACTTTGTTCAGGAAGCATTTCGACTGGGATTGTTTGTGAAGTTATGGCTAAGTTAACCAGAAGTTAATGGGTTAAGAACATTTGTTTTCCTCTTTTCCCTCTTGAAAACCTACCAAGATAATAGTAAAGGGATAAAAAAAAAAAAAAAGATATAATGCTGCAAGGTTACAGATAGTAGAGAAGAGATGTTCAGGCACCCCAAACTGCCATTCTCGATCTAAATCCCTCAAACTTAAATATAAATGGGTAGCCAAGGATCAAAGCTTAAGGGAAATGAAAGAGTGACTAAAACAAACAGGTTGTCATAAGTATATAGCAGTGGCCCCCAACCTTTTTGGCACCAGGACCGGTTTCATGGAAGATAATTTTTTCAGGGGATTCAGGTGGCAGGGTGGCGGGGTGATGGTTTCGGGATGAAACTGTTCCACCTCAGATCATGGGGCATTAGATTCTCATAAGGGGCACACAACCTAGGTGGGCGCAGTTCACAATACGGTTTGCACTCCTATGAGAATCCAGTGCTGCTGCTGATCTGACGGGAGGCAGAGCTCAGGCAGTAATGCTTACCTGTGGCTCACCTCCTGCTGTGATTGAGATGTAAGATTGAGATGTAGATTGAGATTGAGATGTAGATCTACGGGGTCCCCAACCCCTGGTATATAGAGCTGATAGGAGAAGGGGAGGCATGTGAAGTGGTAGTGTGAGACTGCTAAATTCTATTCTATGTGGTACACATTAGTGACTGTGTGGTTTGTTATTTATTGTCCTTATATTAGAGAGATAATTAATGCAGAAGAGAAAAATTATAATATTAAATAACAGTGGCTAACTTTATTCTAAGTAATGCTAATAGTCATCTTTTATGTCTATTGTTGATAATTACTGCCTAATTACCATGTAGTATAATAATGATTATGTAGAGTCAAGTTCACTTTTGTAAGTTTCATCTGATTACAAAACTGAATTTGTTTTAGCCTTTTAAGTTACATGGTCATCCTTGAAACTTCCAAAATTCATGGGAATGTTTGTAATAAAGCTCACTTACACTTGGAAGTTTGCCTTATGTTTAGCAAAAAAAAAAAAATCCTCCTAGAGAGATGTCTGGAAGCATTTTTATTATATTATATTTGATTAGACAATAATTTAAAAAATTTTCTTCCAAATAGTTCCATTTGGTATCAAATATGCTTCTTGAATCAATGTGGGGTGTCCACATCTACAGGTTGGTCTGTGACTAATACTGCCTCCTCCAGCAGGATCTCTGAGTGCTCAGATTAACCATACTACTCCCTCTTCCACCTCCAATAACAGCAGAAAATTTATCCTACCCTTCAAAGACAGTCAGCCTCTTCCCTCTGACATAGCCAGGGAGGGTTTGTGGAAGGGAGGAGGCGGGGAGGGAGAGGGAGAGTGTGGGCTTTGATTAGCTCCTTTCTGGCTGGGTAGTGTCCTTTGGGGCTGTAGAGTTCCAATGTCTGGCTTCCAGGAAGGAAGCCTGGAGGGGTTTCCTTTTGCCACTCCAGAGAAGAGTATAATATTCCCTACTGCTCTGCTTGATCAAGTGAGATCACAAACACTGTCCAGGAAGATTCCTACTGAAGCTGTGTTCTGGGGGAAAAAGCAGTGCTATTTTCATTCCTTCACAGATTCAGTACTCTTTCAGAAGCCCTTCCTATAGTATAGCAATCACTAAAATCAATCTACATCTCATATATTAATACATATGTAAATATGCAGTTGACATGATATAATATTTTGCTTTGCAGTTATATATTTAAATATTTTCTTAATTTAAATTTCTTATTAAAAATAAGAAAATTAAGAAATAAGAATACTGAATAAATATTCAGTATTAATTCAGTAATAAAATATTAATTCAGTATAATTCAGTAATAAAAATAAGATGCCTCAAATATTTCTGTAGGACTTTGAAGAGCCATAAGCTTCAGACACTGTCCCTGGGGCCTGATAGAGAAAAGAGCTCTGGGCTACCATAACATGATCTCTTGTGGACTTAGCCCTTTGAATGCTTTTAAACAGCCTCTTTCTAGTGGCCACTGGGATCCTTCCCAGCTGACCTCCCTAACTTCAGATCTGGCGATTAGAGTTTCCATTTCTCCCTCACAGGAGGGCTTATGGATCCTTGACAAGAGACGATTTCTCGCCGGAAGTGTGGATTCCAAAGGCAGCAGCAGCCCCAGCTCATCCATACAGAAGGCCTGGTTATGCCCTTTCCCCAACCTGGATGCCTGTTTGTCCCATAGTCATGTAACATCAAAGGTTCTCTCCAGGTGCATTTCCTTTTCTGTCTAGATAGAGAAGTCTCAAGAGGAGTTCACTGGGAATAAACAATAGAAAGAAAGTAAATGAGATAGATACCTCATTACCCATTGCAGGGCAAAACCATAGGAAAAAAATCTCCATTCTTGAGTAGAGACCAGTAGTACAAGATTCTGAGTGAGTCTACAATAATAGGTTTCCTTTGTTTCATCTGTTCTTATTTGATGTGATGCTACAAGGAAAATATAAAGTTTTAGAAAGATGTGTATTTTAATGCTTGTGTCACATGTATTTAGGAAGATGTGTATCTTAATGCTTGTGTCATTGTGGAATCACAGTTAGAAGGAAGTTTAAGATAGCACATAAAATAACGTTGCAAAATTAACAAAAGCTTATAACATTATTTCAGGATTTTAAACAAGCTGCTCTGATAAGCCAGACTAACGAGAGCCTTTGTCACGCCACTGCCATGTGCCATCACAGGTATGGAGTGCAATTCATGTCAAAGTGGAAGCAAGCGGGACCATCAGACTTATCTAATTATCACCCCATAAACAAGCCAGGAGAGAATGGAAGAAACTGGGAGAAATTGTGAATGTTACAGAGTACAAAAATGGGGAGGGACACAAAGAGTTCCCTGTGTAGACACGGGGACCACATTTAGTGTTCCTCAGCACCCTTCTGCCTTCTAATAGGCTGTTCTACACAAATTAGCAGGCAAATGCTTCCATCATGGCATTGGGCAGAGTTCATCTAATCCAAGCATAGATGCTGGGAAAGGATCATGGCAATATATAGAATAAAATTATGCATAACTCAAAATATCTAAGCATAAAATAATTTATTTTGTTCATAAAGTGGGACTATTATAAAGTCTCTTTCCTGGAAGAAAGGGTGATTTTAAAAACTTATGCATTTTTAAGAAAAGTTTGCGTTTAAAAACATGACTAAATCTAAATAAAAAGCACCAGCAAATATCTACAAAAAACACAATACTTAAAGCCAAGTTACTTCTTCCTGGGTTTATTATAAAAATAATTTATAGAAGAAGAGATGAAAACAAATAAGGTTAAAATATAGAAGATAATCAGCTTAAAATATACTCTGAAATAATATTATAGTGTATAGACTTTGCTAGCCATAATGCTTATGTTTCTACATATATATTTGACATCATAAAATTAACTTTTAGTAATTTTGCTTTTAAAATTATAGAGATTCAGCCTGTGAGGATTTTAATATGTGATAAAATATATTTGATCAAATAATAGTTTATCACTTTTTTTCCCCTAAGAAACAAATAATACCAGTTAATTTGGAGGATTAAATTAGAATAGTTCCAAATTATGTAGACTAGGCTGTATAAATACCCAGTTTAAAGAGTAAAACATAGTTTGAATTGTTTAGGAAATTGACATCCTTTTCTCTTTGAGGACATATATAGTACGCTACATTTTCCTATGAAAGTTTATTTTTTTTTTATTTTATGGGCAGAGTAATACCATAACTGGAACTTGTGAAGGTGTCTTTGTGTTAAAAGGCCTAACCTGGTCTCAGACCTTTCATTTTGTACAGACAGCGAAACCCGGTCATACCATTGCCTATTTTAATCCAGCAACCTTTGTGCAATCTATCTCTTTAAGTAATTGTCATTCTTAAGAAGAGATGGAATAACGATGACTGATGTGTTTGTTTTGGTGGGCGGGTGAAGACCAAAAATGCCCGAGCTCGTTGCATTCTGTTAACATTAAAAACAGACTCCAATACTACTCTCTACCTCACTCCTAGGTTTAGGAACCATTAGAACCAGTAAATTTCTCTATATGTCGGTTCACAATCTCTTTTATGAGATGTAATCACTGGGTATATACTGGAGAGCCTCCTTGAGCTGATACTGCTTTGCAATTCCAAATAACCAACTTTCATCACCCAACTAGAATCTCTATTGTTCTTTAATAAAAGTAGAATTTAAATCAACTGTACACCTGTGAAAACTCAGAGTCCCAGTTCCACGTGTTTTGAGTTCTGAGTTGTGCTGAATTTAACAATAAGGAGTGTTGAGTGATTGGTCGTATATATATATATTTTTTGCTTTTCAAGGTGAGCTATAACATCCTTATGCCACAGATGCATGGACTGTAACTATGGGGATTTATTCCTGGTGTGTCTTACAGTAGGGAAAGTAAACATTTTCTCATTTGGAAAAATTCTTTAAAGAAATAAATTTTTAAATTTTAAGGCTTTGATCTTTGATCTCGTGGGGTTGCAGACTTTTGACGTATCCTTTGTATATCTCTGGTTCTCACTCTTGTGGTTGCTAGGAGACAACATTCCTTAGGCTTGAATATCCTACTTGTTGCCCAATTTAGTCACCAAGAGTGTTATGGTAGAATTAATTTTTAGAACTGAGAACGCCGCTTTCATATTTCAAAAAATATCATAGAGGGAGATTACTCAAAGTTATATATCCTATCTACTTTTTACTTCAGCACATTTATTTTACTATTCTTACATATTGGGGCATAAAATATTTTTGAGTCTTTAACTCTTCAAGCCAGACTCTTTAGTTTGGGGAGGGATTTGTGATTTATTTGTACAACTCAGTAGGGCACATCTGGTCACGTATGTGATTAATTTGGAAAATGCAGTGGACCTTTGTGTCTGTGGCCTAGTGGACAAGCTCAGCACACAACCCCTTGTTCACAGAACACAGTAAATAGAATCATGCACCTCCAGGAAGTGATCACTTGGCTCTAGATTTATGCGAACACATTTTATTTTAGAAAACCTCATTTAACATACTTTTACACTTGTGGTAACTGATGCTTAACAATGTATATCTCATTGAATGTGTATCCTGACAAGATCATAGATATTCTGCCACATTCTCCCATTGGCTAAATGCCATGCAGTTACTTAACAAGGGCTTCAACCTGTAGGACACTGTGACAGACACATATTCAGAGAAATGAAATTACTGTTTCCACAGTGGCATCTGCTCATTTTTCTTTTCCTGGTCTATTGGTGCAGGAGGCTGGGGAGCCTCTGATTTTCAGCACTTTCGCCTCCCTGGACTTGATTTTAGTCACTATCGGCTTTGAGGAGCTTGCTAGCTGTCTTTCCAGATCTCTTTTCAGCTTCAAGATTTAATGATTATTTACTTTGTCTGAACAGACTAGTTGTTCATTAAACATTAGTGCTGATAACTTAATGGGTACAGAAAAATAGCTTCAATCACTGCCATTTGGTAATTCACAACTTGTATGACATGGTGGTGAGCTTCAGTTCACTGCCTTATTTTTCTAATTGGTTAGGCTATACAGAAGGGAAGATTGTATTTCATAAACCATATATTAGAATATGTACTCACAAAGGATTTTTCATTTCACTGGGTAAGAGGGGCCAGGGTGTGTGATGCAATTTGGATGTCAATATTACTAGGGGCATTTCAATGAATTTGGGGAGAATATGAGAGAAAGGGATTTCCCTGGAAACGTCCATTGAAATGCTCACTATAGGTATGCATCATAAGTAAATGCTTCACTACCCACAGATAGAAATGCTAAACACAACAAAACTTATCTAAACCTATCAAAACGAAATGCATTTTACATGGAATGACTATTATTCCTGATAAGGAATTTGTTATGCTATGTTTAGAATTATTGCTATACTACAGTGAGAAGGCACTTGGAAAGGCAAAGTGGACTTTTACTTCTTTTCTCTTTCCTTCCTTCCTTCCTTCCTTCCTTCCTTCCTTCCTTCCTTCCTTCCTTCCTTTCTTCCTTCCTCCCTCCTCTCTTTTCTCTTTTCTTTTCTTTTGTTTTTTCTTTCTTTTCTTTCTTGAGTCTCACTCTGTTGCCCAGGCTGGAGTGCAGTGGCGTGATCTCGGCTCACTGCAACCTCTGTCTCCCGGGTTCAAGCAATTCTCATGCCTCAGCCTCCTAAGTAGCTGGGACTACAGGTGCATACCACCATGCCTGGCTAGTTTTTTGTATTTTTAGTAGAGATGGGGTTTCACCATGTTGGCCAAGCTGGTCTTGAACTCCTGACCTCAGGTGATCCACCTGTCCCGGCCTCCCAAAGTGCTGGGATGACAAGCATGAGCCACCATGCCCAGCCTGACTTTTACTTCTTAAATAGTGCCAATTATCAGGAAAGAGAGCACAATTTCATTGTATACTACTTAAGGAAAGTGATCTTGTGTTTTCCTGAGTAACTCAAAAGGCGGCATCTGATTCCCATATGTGGATGTTAACCTTTGCCTGCTTGTAACATCAGAAGCAAGCTTTTTTAATGTTTCAGTGTGGATTGTTGTGTGAGCTTCTAGAAGAACACCTGTTGCACCACATTTGGGAAAACATGGAGGAAGTATCGCAAGTACCTGTTACTTTTCATGGCCTGGACAAGCATTAAAAAAATACTGTATCACATTGTGAGAAACTGAATTGCCTTTCAGTTTCAAAATGAATTCTTTCCCAAACCTTCTGAACACATCAAGGAGAATGTCTCAGCTAAGAGCTGGCCTTTTTTTTTTTTTTTTTTTTTTTTTGAGATGAAGATTTGCTTTTGTTGCCCAGGCTGGAGTGAAGTGGCACAATCTTGACTCACTGCAACTTCTGCCTTCTGGTTTCAAACGATTCTCCTGTCTCAGCCTCCCGAGTAGCTGGGACTTCAGGGGCCTGCTACCATGCTTGGCTAATTTTTGTGTTTTCAGTAGAGACAGGTCTTGAACTCCTGACCTCCTAAGATGCTGGGATTACAGGCGTGAGCCACTGCGCCCGGCCAGAGCTAGTCTTTAAAAACTTTGTTTGTAATCGATGGTGCAGCACTCAGGCTGTTTTCTGCAGAATAAATATCAGCTCCAAGCTTATCATTTTAGCTTATTATTTTATTTATGACATGAGATAATTTTTCAACTTATGGTATTTAAATTAATTTGCTTTCAAAAATAAATTTAGTTAAGTAAAAAAAGTGAGTTGATTTAAAAGAAAATATTTAGTAAATGATAGTGTAGGTGGAACCTGGGGCAACTTTCATGAAGGAAGGGGTAGTTTGGAAATCAGTAGTTTAAGAGATACTCTTGAGTAACCTCTGGAAGATGATAATTCCTGAAACAGTCTATCCTGGGTTCCATGTATTTTATAAAGGAAAAGTGGGCAAAGTAGTGATCCATCTTATTAAAATTTGAAACCTGTTTGAGAAGTAATGAAGAGAATAGAAGGAAGATATAATCTTCAATGGGTGAGGGTTTCTGTGCTAGGTGTTCTTCACATGTTCTTATTTGATCCTCATAACAACCTTAAAAAATTAATATTAACTTTCATGTTCAGGCCCAAATCTGAACTCCAAGCCTTTCTTCTGGCTACCTTGTTGAGATATCAGCTCACTGGCTCTTGTACACCAACCACAGGTGTATTATAGGTGCAGATTGTGTGGTAGAGATGGCTGTGTGGAAAAGCACGGATTTTGGAGTAAAGCTTATCTGAATCTCAGATATTTTCTCTGTGAAAACATAGTATGTTAGTTACTCTGCCATTACCTGTGTGCAAACTTTTCTGTGCCATAATTTTCCTTTCATCTGTAAAATGTAGATAATTATAACTAGCTTACAGAGTTGTTGGAAGTATTAAAGGAAATAGCATATGTTAAGTATTTAGCACAGTACCTGGTAAGTAAACAATGCTAGTTTCCTCATTCCATTCTATTTTTAAAAATCCTAGACTCTCTCCATGTTAATTGAAACTAAATATTATTATTAGATATGCATATGAAATAGAGAAGCGACTTTATATGCCCATGAACAAATATTTGATGCCTTTACAAGAGAGTAATTAGGGAGGATAGACAGAATTATCATTTAGCCAAATACATTCACAATTTGATAAATAAAATGCATTTTACTTTCTTCTCTCCCCTTCTCTCCTGGTGTCCACATTGAAATGGCCTGCCTTTATAGGAGATCTGACGTAAGGACGCCCATGTGATGAAAATCTGGCTGTTTTCATTGTATAAGGAAATATTAAATACATACAAATAAGTTTATTTTAATCTATTTTTTAAAAGTAGATTTCATCAATCGTAGCATATGTTTTTCTATACTGGTAATTAATACCTGTTAAAAACAGATTTAAGAATGCCATGTGGACTTTAGTAACTTGAAAAAAAAATCCAGAATATCATCCCATCACATTCTGCTATGAAAATGACCCTTTCTTGCCGTCTTTCCTTTTACCAAAATCTTCAAAGGACCTGTCACACTTCCTTAGGTCTTATGGACTTATGTGCCTACCTCCTACAATGGATAATAGAAATGGAGATTTTTTAATGAGTCAATTCAAATCTTTATGGACAAGTCAGTTACAGGAAAACATTGCATATGCCACCAGAATGCATCAGTTCACCAGAAGGCATCAATATTTTTATTTATTTGCAGAATTAATGAGTTTGAAGAAGCTGTCAATTTCTTTACCTGGGCTCTTAAAATTAACCCATGTTTTCTGGATGCTTATGTTGGACGGGGAAATTCTTACATGGAATGTGGTCATGCTGAAGCCACCAAGCAAGCACAGAAAGACTTTCTGAAAGCGCTGCATATTAATCCAGCATACATAAAAGCCAGAATTAGTTTTGGCTATAATTTGCAGGTAATATAGCAACATTTTGAGCATTAAAAGCATCTTTTGGGGAGAAAGAATTTATTTGGCTCTTTCCTGGCAATGGGAGTATTTCTTTGGTTATGAACATTTGTCTTTTCCTTGCTTTTAGGTTCCAGAGTAACAGTGGGAGCAGGGGGTTTAGTTAGTTATAGAGAGACTGTCTGGATCTGGATCAGCCTGGGGAACTGGTAGGCTGGTTAAATGAAAATCTTTTGAACCTGAGCTTCCTTTTATGTCTGCACCCCTCCCTACCTTCCTCCTCACTTACAAACAACTTTTAAAATTTGCCTGATGAAGTTCATCTCTAAGAACCTGGGTAACAATTATTTTACTAGCTTGTATACCTAGGCCCCACAGGTTTTGTCCTATTGCATTAGTGGAAAGCTAAAGGGAAGAAAATTAGCCATTGTTGGATCACAGAGAAATTTGCCAAGTCCATTTAAAGAGAGGGATTTCCAAGGCAGCTAGAAGTGACTGCAATCCAGTGAAGTGTGTTAAGATCATCATCATTCACTGCATTCAACAGACATTAACTGAGCACTAAATATAGAACGGAAACTGCTCTAGGCCTAGGGATATAGCAATGAACAAGGTATACTTCCTTCTTCTTGCAGAGTTTACTACTCAGTGGAGAGATAGGCATCAAACAATTAATCGTATGAATAATTGATTATAATCATGATAAGTGCAACAAAGGAAAAGGATGAGTTTTAGTATAACTTGTAACAAAATAACCTAGCTTTGTTTGAGAGGTGAGAGAAAGCTTTTTGAGAAATTAATAATGTTGAGGTGTGAAAATAGGGGCCATGGCTAGGATACAGTGTTCTGTAGAGCGGAACCGGCCCATCAGAAAGTCTCGTAAGAAAGAGACAAGAGGGCCCAAGTGGATGGAATGTTATGGGCAAAGGGAGCAGGGCATGAGTTGAGGCTGGAGTTAAAGGCCTTATGGTCCAGTTAAAAATGTGAATAGCAGTAATAGGAGAAGTGACATCAAATTTGCATTTTATGAAGATCTCACTGGGTGTATAGCAACCTAAAAGAGAATTGAAAAGCCCAGCAGTGTAAAGAATTGAATGAGGAAGGAGGACTGCAAAAGGAGAGTTAGGCTCATCTGAGTTCTGTCCAGGGAAAGAGCAACAGTTTGTTCAACAAATACTTACAGATTCCCTTATTATTTGCCTAGCACTAGAAATATAGAAATGAGCACAACAGATGTGGTCTGGAGCAGATGACAGAGATCTTACTGTGAGGCAGTTTGCTATTTAATATTCTAATAATCTAATCTCAATTTGCCTGATTCCTTGTTTATTAAATGAGCTTGTGTTGACAGTGTGGATTTACAAATGGTTTACCCAGAGAGAGAAGATTTGATGGTCAGGAAACAGGGTCTTTTTCCCTTAACGGTTGTATTTCTTTTTACTTTCATATGAGAGTCCCTAGGCTCAGCTTGGTTAAAGTGAGTCAGCTTCTGAGATTCTGGCAAGATGGGTTTTTTTTTAGCCCATTAGAAAAAAAGACAGACTCCAGACTGTACTGAATTTATTAACTCACTGCCTTCCTGTGGAGGCATTTAGTTGCCAGCTGGTCTTCTCTAGGAAGCACTCTGACATCGTTCTATTAAAATGCCCCTCTCCTGACCTTTTTCTTTCTTTTCCAGTTGGTATAAACAGAAGCTTGGTAGATTTACATGTATTTTCCATGGAATATGTATAGTGATCCTAAAACGCCAGATGCTGGCATGATTTATCAGAATATGTTTTACACCATTATTCATTTATTATTCAATACATGTTTATTTTATTATGTATATTATGTATATATTATCTATAACTGGAGATTCAGTGCCAACCAAATAAATGCAATCCCTCCCTATGTGTGTGCAGCTCAATGTGAATCTTTGTGTGTTGGTAAAAACCATTGGCATTTCACATGGTGGCTATGATTTTATGTTGTCCAGGATTGGTACAGGAGATGACTCTGAAGTTAAATATATTTTAATTAATTAAAATTTCATCATAAATACTCAGAGGTAATTGGTCAACTGAATACAGCCACAGTATGCTTTCAGTATGCCTACTTTCTGGTTTAAAAGAACTTAGATTTAGCATGGCTAAATACCCTTACTAAATACCCTTACTAAAGGTTTTATTTGATTGAGTCAGAATCATAAACATTTGTTATGTTATGGACTATTTCCTACTTTGTGTAATTGGAAAATTATTTTAGGCCCAAGGAAAATTCCAGAAAGCTTGGAACCACTTTACCATTGCCATAGATATTGATCCAAAGAACTACCTAGCCTATGAAGGAAGAGCTGTGGTCTGTCTTCAGATGGGCAATAATTTTGCTGCAATGCAGGATATTAATGCTGCCGTGAAGGTAAAAACCATCTTAGGTTATATTATTATTAGCATAAATTAACACTGTCAATGAATAGGTTCAAGTAAGAAGTTCTCTGTTAGCTTTTTAAAGTACTTATGCAGAAAATAATGTTTTGTATTTTTTTAACCCAAGTGATCCCTGGGGTAAAGAGTTATGGCTTGCCAATTTTATAACCTAAATGCACTAAAACCCCAAAGTCCTGATAAATGTTGATCGCTTTCAGTAAATACGCTTTATACTTTCATGGGACATCAATATTATTTTGTCATACAAAGTGAATGCGTAACATAAAATAATGTTCTAGGTTTGAAGGAACTAAAGAGAGAACAGTGTAAATCCCCAGAATCTTCCCATAATGAAATGACAAGTAAAAATCTCATGTTGAATGCATGGACAGAAACTCTTCTTTACTTCTAGATTTTGGGTTTTGATTCTGTAGATTTGGGCAGATATTGTAGTGTTTGAGATGAGAAAAAGGAAAGAACTGAAAGATAATTGCTACTACATAAAAATACACCTGTTAACTATTCAATTTAATTTCTTCTCTAGCTTAACAGCTAAACAGATAAGCCTTTCCACTTTGTCTATTCCTTGGAAAGGAACTGAGTTAAAAAAACACTAAGATTATTTGTTTTATAGCAACCAAATCAACAAAGTGTTGACACTGAACCAACTTCATACCAACTCCTTTCTCAAAATATTTGTTCTACTGGGGTTTTACATGCACTATAAAACTACTCATTTCCCACAAGTAGATTCTCTAATGTTCATTTTGGCAGACATGAAATCAGAGATACATACTATTCCCAGATGTTAAATAATCATAATGTTATACTGCAGATCAATACTACAGCAGAATTCTTAACAAATCGTGGGGTGATTCATGAGTTTATGGGCCATAAACAGAATGCAATGAAAGACTATCAAGATGCAATTTCTCTAAACCCCAAGTACTCGCTGGCTTACTTTAATGCGGGAAATATCTACTTTCACCACAGGCAGTTTTCCCAGGTAATGTGAGTTTTACTTAACACTTTCGTTTTGACATGAAATGCTATCTTTATTATATATAGCTTCAAAATGTAGTTCATACAATCTCAGGCTAATAATGCATTGGCTATTAGCTCTTTTATTTAAAATGTTGTCTTACATAAGAATGCTTATAATTTATCCATTAAATATTTATGCCTCTATGGATTTATTCTCCTCATTATCATCAACAACACTTGTAAACGTTTTTTCTTCTTTTATATTTTATCATAATAAATGTCTTGCTAGAATCTTATTAAGACATAATTGACATAGAACAAATCACACATATTTGAAATGTATGATTTGATGTCTTGACATATGTGTACACCTGCAAAATCATCACTACAATAAAGATAATAAACATCTATCAGCACCAAAAGTTTTCTCATGCTCCTTGATATTTTATCCTTCCTTCCCTGAAAAATATGAAACGCTTCATGAATTTTCATGTCATCCTTGCACAGGGGGCATGCTCATCCTCTCTGTATTGTTCCAATTTTAATGTATATGTTGCCGAAGTGAGCATCCAGTAAACATTTTTTTGGACTTCCCCAAGTGTGAGGACTTGCTTTGCGATATGTATTGTCACCAGCTCCCGCCTGGAATCCTCTGTTCTTTCCCCCACTTAGACTTCCTTCAAGACCCTCCTTAGGATTATCTAACTCACCTTAATTTATGCTTTTTCCAAATTTCTGCCATGGGAGCACTTGACTGGGAGTAAGAAGACTTGGATTTTAGTTCTGGTTTTGTGTGATGCCTTAATCTCTTTGGATTTCAATTAATAGTATCTGAAACAAAAATGTTGGGTCATTAGATGATGGTATTTTCTAGTTTTTGGATTTATTTCATTTGAATCATAAGGCAAGCTCTTAATTTTTAAGTTTTTGCTTTTTATTTATAGTCACTCTTTTTTCTGCTTTCCTTGAATTTGTCTTGTTATTCTTTATCTTTTTGAATTGGAAGCTTAATTTATTTTCACCCTTTCATTTGTATTGTAATAAGTTATTAAAAGTATGACTTTTACCCAAGTACTGTTTTGGCAGCATTCCACACATTTGGCCCTGTAATGTTTGCTTGTTTAGCCCTGGTAAAATACACCTAACAAAAACTTTACCATCTCAACCATTTTTAAGTGTATATTTCAGTAGTGTTAAGTATATACTGAAATGTTTTTATTAATGTTTTCCCCAGATTTTGCACCTGTAATTTCTATTTCCCATTTGACTAAAGAATAAATTAATAGGGCATTTAACCAGATGGGAGGACATTTATATTTTCAACATTCTGGAATTTCTTGAATTTTAATGTAGTCTAATGTAAAAACCTTTTTTGAATATGTCAGGGTCATTCCAAAGAAAGGGTAGCTACTATTAGGATGTGGATTTAAGTCTACATTTATGAAGTCTACATTATTAATTAGTTTACATTCATACTTTTTTTTCACTTGGTCTATCTTGGACTGAGAGATTTATTCAAGTATCCTGTTATTAGGGGGTTCCTATATATTTCTCTTTACATCTCTTATAATGTCTGCTTTGTGAAAATTCATGCTACATTATTTCATGTGTAGATATTTATACCTATTATATATGCATTATGAATTATAGCCTTCAGCATTACAAATTTCCCTCTTTGTTTCTTTTAATGCTCTGTGGAACAAATTATCTTTTGTGTAATATGAGGATCATGACCTCTGAGACCTTCTGATTTGCTTTGCCTGGTATTCCTTTGCTTTTCCTTTTCCTTTCAACTTTTAAAATCCTTTGTTTTTGGTATGTCTCTTTTATACTGCATAGAATTGGATTTTACTTTGAGAGCTAATTTGAGAATATTTTTCTTTTAATAGGCAAGTTAAGCCCATTTAATTTTGATGTAATAAATACATTTGATCTTAGTTCTGTCATTTTATGTAATACAAGTATGTTAACGTTAAAAGTATTTTGAAAGTATTTAACTCTGTTTTTTTTTATTTTTTGACTTTTTTCAGTTTTTGTGATATTTAGGAAGACTTATAGTTTTGCTGTAGTGATTACCTTTATAAAAATAACTTTAATACTCTTATTTTAGTTTCTCTACTATGAACAACAGTGAAATTACCCCTAAACTCCTCCTCCCTCTCATCCATTATTCAATTTTAGTTAGTAATATTCTTTTTTTAAAAAAAAAATAGTTTATCCTCATATTCTTAAATATGCTTCAGCTTATTATGTCAGCTTGTCATATAAACTTAGTTTCCACAGTCTCTCGGGTATAAAAATTAGTCCAAATTAAGGTGAGTTAGATAATCACATCATAGGGAGGGTCTTGAAGGAAGGCTAAGTAGGGGAAAGAGCAGAGGATTCCAGGCTGGAAGCAGTTGACAATAGATATTGCAGGGCAACTGCTGACGCTTGGGGAAATCCAAAAGAATAGTTACTGCATGTTCACTTGGGCAGTACATAATGTAATTCTCTCATTTTGTTGTAAGTTTTATTATTTCTACACTGCCTGAAGATTTAATATTTATGTATTATTTTGTTACCCTTATTGCACATTTTAGTCTTAGTTCTTCAGTTAAGTATATTCAGTTCTCATCACCAGATTATTTGCCAAACTCCCCTTCCCCACAATAATTTCTTGGTTGTCTGAAATTAATCCTCTGGTAGAGTTCTAAGAAGGGGCTCCTGAGAACAATATTCCTTGGATTTTTGCATGTTGATAGCTGTTTGCCTGTAGCCTATTTTATACCTTAAGACATCATGGCTCCTTGACTCATGTTTCTTTCCTCGTGTGTCTTGTAAGCGCTGCTTTCTTTTCTGGTGGTGTATGTTGGTGTCAAGAAGCATGATGCAAACTGGATTTTCTTTTTCTTAAAAGCAACTTGCTCTGTCAAAATAACCACATTTGTTTTTTAAGGAAAAAGTTTTAACAAGGTATGCCTTAGAGTTGACCACTGCAGGTTAAATTTATCAAGTATACAGTGTATGTTTTCAGTATGTAGATTTCAGATAAGTGTTGTTGAATTCAGTTAACATTTTTTTTTTTCTGTTTCATTGTTCTGAGTTTGTTCACTGGGGATACCAATTATATAGATGTCATATATTCTTTAACTTTGAGTTATTCTAATTTTTTTTTCTTAATGTCTGTTTCATTTTCTTTGTCTTTCTTTTGTATTTTTTTCTAAATCTTTATACTGTTTGCTGAGATACCAGTTATCCCTGTGGACCTCATAAGTCAGGTTTCCTTTTTATTTTTCTAGTCCTATCCTATTTACATGCCATTTTTTTCCTGGTCACTTCTTTTCTGGGTTCCTATATTTCTGATTCATTTTTTTTCTTGATAGCAATTGCTTCCTTAACAATTTTTTTCTAAAATAAATTTTTTAAATGAATTTTTTTCAGAATCATTTTATTTCAAAATGTTATATTTTTATTGATACATACTAATTGTACATATTTATGGGGCACAAGTGATATTTTGATACATGCATACAATGTGTAATGATGAAATCAAAGTAATTGGAATATGCATTGCCTCAAACATTTATCTTTTCTTTGTGGTGAGAACATTTCAAATCTTCTAGCCATTTTGAAATATGCAATAAATCATAATATAGTCACCCTGCTGTGCTATCAAATACTAGAACTTGTTCCTTCCATGTAACTGTATTTTTGTTCCCATTAACCAACCTGTTTTCATCCCCCCACCCACCCCTCCCAGCCAATTGTAACCACCTTTCTACTCTCTATGTCTATGTTTATGACACAAAGTTTTTCTTTAAGCCTCCAAATATGAGTGAGAATATGTGTTGTCTTTCTGTACCTGGCTTATTTCGCTTAACACAATGTCCTCTATGCTCACCCATGTTGCTGCAAATAATAGGATTTTATTCTTTTTAATGATACAGTAGTATTCCATTGCATATATGTAACATGTTTTCTTGATCTATTCATCTGTTGATGGACACTTAGGGTGATTCCATATCTTGGCTATTGTGAATAGTTCTGGGACAAACCTGGGAGTGCAAATATTTCTTCAATATACTGATTTTCTTTCCTTTGGATATATACTCAGCAGTGGACTTGCTGGATCATATGCTAGTTCTATTGTTTTGAGGAAGCTTTGTACAGTTTTCCATAATAGCTGTACTAATTTACATTCTCACTGTCAGTGTACTAGAGCGCCCATTCTTTGCATTCTTGCTAGATGTGTGTGTTATTTTTCTGTCTTTTTCTTTGTTTGCTTTTTTTTTTTTTTTTTTGACAATAGCCATTTTAACTGAGGTGAGATAATATCTTACTGTGGTTTTGATTTGCACTTCTCTGACGATTAGTGATGTTCAACATTTTTTTTTTATAGATCTATTGGCCATCTGTATGTCTTTTCAGATCATTTGCCTTTTTAATGGGAATGGTGTTTTGTTTTGTTTTTTTTTTTTTTTGCTGTTGAGTTGTTTAAGTTTTTTATATATTCTGGTTATTAATTCCTCATTGGATGAATAATTTGTAAATACTTTCTCCTATTCTGTAGGTTTTCTCTACACTCTATTGATTATTGCCATTCCTATGCAGAAGCTTTTTAAACTTGATATAAAACCACTTGTCTGTTTTTGCTTTTGTTGCCTGTGCTTTTGTGGTCTTAACTCTTGAAAAATCTGTGCCATATTAATCAGTGTCCTGAAACATCTCCACAATGTTTTATTCTAGTAGATTTATATTTTCAGGTTTTACAGTTAAGTCTAATCCATTTTGATTTGATTTTTGTACATAGGGAGAGACAGGCGTCTAGTTTCTTTCTTCTGCATATGGATACCCAGTTTTCTCAGTTTTATTTATTTGGGTCTTTTCTCTCTTTTTAGTTAGTCTCACTATCAGTTTTGTTTATTTTTACAAAAATATAACTTCATTTTGTTGATGTTTTATATTTTTTAAATCTTTATTTCTGCTCTGATATTTATTATTTCTTTTTTTTTCTAATTTTGGGTTTAGCTTGTTCTTGCT